GAGTAAAGTGTGAAATGTGAATTGCACTAAATTTGATCGGTAATAATCAAATTGGACAGGAGGAAGAAAAATCAACTGAGTGAGTTTCAGTTGAGGTGATGAACTGAAAGAAAAAAAAAGCCGAAAGAAAAACAACTTGGCCAGTAGAAGGACGTTTTGATCGGAAGCGCCAGAATTCACTGGTGCTCCTTCAGCTACCCGTTTCAGCAACTGGGATCCAACTGGATTACAAAATCGTACCTAGGTGCAGGAACAGACTTCTAAAAGCCAAGACACTGCAACAATATCACCAATTACAGTGCTTGCGATACAGGAAACAGTGCAGTGAGCGGAATCGCTGCGGATCATTTTCAACCGTATACTCTTCCGGAACACGCACCACATTTTTCGCTCGCCCACCAGCACTGAAGCTGATCTGAAATTCTGGTCCATTAATCCAACTATTCTGAGACCTATAGTCGAGTTACACAGCTTTTATCTCGCACTGCCAAACTCATAACAGTGAAGAAAAGCATGAAGCATTAATTTTCTTGGCTATATACTTTGCTCAACACACACACACACACACAAACATCACATGGTCTTGCATTGTTCCTGCATCCTCATAGATCACATTGAACCATCTGTTCAGCTAGCTGTGCATCAAATGCTCACCTGCTTATGAAGATCAGCTTCCCTGATTTCAGCCAAATCCTCCAAGTGTGAATGAAACTTGTACGATACAGTAAGCTTAACATTCAGGAGATGTTCTGCAAATGCAGCACTTGTGCAAATTTTTCATATAGGACCTATCGAATTCAAACAAGATAACGCTTACTGCCGTCAAAAAAAAAAAAAAAAAACACACACACACGGATTGAACAACTTTATAGATGTAAGTTAAATATGCAGAAGTTATTTCGCAACAAGACGAACAAGTCTTTGAGCCCGTGGATACCGGCAGTTCCTTTCAAGATTTTTCCCGAGTAAATGGCTTTTTTTTCAGTTCCGACACTCATTTTTTCATTCCAAAAAAAGTAGTTCCGCCACAAAGAGATCGAAACTTTGTAGCCCGTCTGCGCCCCTCTCTGCCACTCATACTCACTCATTTCATCTTATCTCGGGTTTCTTGTTAAGCGAACCACTGGAGGAATGATGGTATTGCGATAAAGAAGGGATTTCATATTTCGATGATAAGAAA